CACTAACATCGGTCCAGTTCGGAAAGAGAACCTTTAGGAACCAAGCTTTCGCCGGTTTTGCCTGCAGCTGAGAGGTTTACTGTGTAGACAGGAACTCACAGTGGCCGACCATGCACATCAGGTTTATCTGAGTATCGTACAAGGGACAGAAGTGCTGTGTTTTATCCCAGAAACCCAGGGGCCCACATGCGTCCGCAGTGTAGCCTGTGCCCTGCGTTGCCTTTGAGATCAGTGTGGGTCACGTGCCAGTTGCTGGTGACATCGGTGGGACTGAAAAGTGGCTTCATAAACCCTGCTGGTTGGTGGTGGTAGGAGCTGCTGGTCCCAGCTTCGTCTGTACTGGTGCTAGAACATTCCGTTGCTATGGCCTTTTCCATGACGCATGGCTGCACTGATAAGAGACACAAATAGAGGTTTCTACCTAAAACCCTACTGCTAGTCTTCCCATGTTGATTTCTTTCTAAACCCTTTGATTTCTTTCTTTTCACTAATTCACTTCAGGAATGACTTTTAGTCACGACATTCTCCCACCCCACTCCCTTCGACAATTGCTCGTCCTCAAATTAATCATTAGTATGTTCTTCTGGTTTCATGGTGATCTTTTGTTAGTCTGCGTAAGATGAGCTTTGTTTGTACCATAAACTCCACTCCTAACGCTGAAAATAGTATAATTCAGTCGCACTGTGGCTGGACCTACTCCTGAATGTTGGCGGGTGAGACTCCGGGGCCCATTTTTGTGGTCTCTGTCCAGCTAGTTTGAGCGCCAGTGTGGGGGCCCAGTAACGCCCACCCTTTCTGTGAACGAAGACTTCATTGGCTCCCCACCCCTTCCCACCGTTGGCAGATTTTTTTTCTTAACCACAGAAACTGTATTTATTTATTGTGATCGTTTCTTTTTCCATTTTTATTAACCAGAGATCCATAGCTAGGTCTGAAGTCAAAACAAGCTTCCAACAGTGTCAACATTAAGTTTGATTTTCCAGAGGGTTGGTATCTGCTAACCTGTATTCCTTCTCAGTGAGCAGGGCGTTCCTGTGACATTTTTTTTTATGACAATATAAAGTCCTCGTGCCATGTTCTTTCTCTTGCCCTCCCCCGCCCCCACCCCACCCCCAGGGGCAGACTGAGGGGGTGCCCTGTGGTCCTAGGGTCTCAGCTGAAGCATGGTCTATACCTGGGCAGTTTGGAGTCTTATTAGCAAGTTTTTTTTTTTAATGGAGAAAGATAATGAAAAACATGCACTAAAATGAGTTTTTATTAACACAAGTCCCACCTCCCTCCGCATTTGTGGGGAGCGTAACAGGTGTCTTGGGGTGCGGTTCTCAGCCCTGTGACATCAGCGGTCTGGTCCTGGAGACCCGGCTCCGAATGATCACCTCTTTGCTTTTCCCACCTGTACCACTACCACGCCCTCCCCGCCCCTCGCTCCGTCTCTGTGAGTTTTCCTTCTCTCTGTGGGCTTTGTGCCCGCGTGCGCTTACCCACTTCCCGTTTCTGTTCCGGCCCCCCCCCCCGCAGTGAACTGGGCTCTGGAAGGGCAAGGGCGGCTGCGTGCGCGTGCACGGGGGAGGGGCAGCCGCAGCAGCAGCCTCCCCAGCACACTCCCTGGTGCGGCTTGAGGAGGAAGTGGGTGGCTGTGTCCCCACATCCAAGACCGGGACACATTTTCACGTGACTTGGTTAAAGTCACACCTCTTCGTGTGCCTTCAGGGACACTTTTTATCTCTTTCCTTTGTCCTTAGGATGAAAACATAAAATGGTTCAAGGGCAAGGAGTAGACTATGAAGAGAAATAAACAGTCTGCAGAATAAGTAGATGGGATCAGCGGCCCCCGATGTCCTCCCAGGGAGAGAGAGGGTCGTTGCCCCCGGAGCTCTGCCCTCCTAGTGACGGCCGGGCGTGCTGCCCAGTTCGGTGCCCGGTCCTGTCATCGCATCTCCTGGTGTCCCCTGGTGCCCCCCACTGCTGCCGTGTTCAGAGGTTGCTTGGGCCCTAACTGGAGACGGCATATGTGTTGACTTTGGTTTTATTTTTTAGCTTCTTCAGTCAATCATACTTCACTGCCCAACAAGTAGAGGGAGCTGGTTTGCTTGGGCAAATGACCCCGAAGAGAACATTTCCAAATAATTGGACTTCCTTGTTGCTGCTGAGGTTAATATTTAACAGAAAAGGAACATTTTCTTTTCTTTTTTTTAAATTTATTTTTTTAATTGTTGTTCAGTTTGTTTTCCTTTTTCCACATTGCTCTCCCCTGCCCCGCCCCCACTAATACATTCAGTTGCCCCCTGCCACGCACACGTTTTCCATGCCCACGAATCCTCTACTCACGTTCCTTGGCTCGTCCCTTCCACTTCTTTCCCTCATTAACCCCCTTGACCCCCCCACAATGGTCACTGTCAGTTTGTTCTTTATTTCTAAGTCTCTGGTTGTATTTTGCTCATTTTTTTTACTTTAAATATATTTTTTAATTTTATTGATTATGCCATTACATTTGTTCTATTTCCCCCCTCCATTCCCCTCCACCCTGCCCACCCCTCCCCACCATCCCCCCTTTAGTTCATGAACACGTGTCTCAAGTTCTTTAGATTCTATATTTCCCCTACTATTCTTACCCTCCCCCTATCTATTTTCTATCTACCGTCTATGCTACTTATTCTCTGTACCTTCTCCCCCCTTCTCCATCTCCCACTCCCCTGTTGCTAACCCTCCACGTGATCTTCATTTCTGTGGTTCACAGAAAAGGAACATTTTCTTTAACCAAATAAGGATTTGGGGAACTCATTCGTTGATATTTTTATTATATGTCGTATTTTTAAATCATCAGTTTTCTGTAATTGCCTGTCAGATATCACCTCCAGTTTAGCATAAAGACAAAGTAAAAAAAAACGAAGTATTTTATCCACAGTTAAAGTGTGAGGTGGTAAAAGAAATCATGTAACCAAATTAATTTTATAAAAATGCCTTTTGTAGGATGTATGTGGAATGATAGGAATTTATTGTATCCTAAGTACAATACATACTCATGGGTAGGTTTGGATATAGTAGTAAGTCGTGTTAGACATTGTCAGTATTTTAACAACAAAAGAAAAATTTTAACCCTGATTTTTATGTTCACACACTTTTGTGGTAAGTCATTTAATATCTCCTTCCTTGGGGAGGTCATGGCCATGTGCGTGTTAGGAACTTGGTGGAAAACTTGGGGAAAAGCCCTCCTGTGTAATGAATGTTGGTGCAAAGGTGGTTTCCTGGATGTAACCTTTCTGTGACAGGAGGGACGCAGTGCGTCAAAGGGGGGATGATCGTCATTGCCGCTTGTTCTCAGAGAGTCGGGGCCGGTGACCACAGATAGAAGGTTTGGGTCGTTTAAAGACAGTCTCGGGTAGACGTCACCCTGTGTAAATTTCCTTTAAAAACCTTAGCTATCCAGGTGGTACATTCTTCTCATTGGACGGTTGAGGAGTGGGGGCTGCTGGCCACTGTTACTCAGGATGCCGGACTGTGAATGGGAATGGCCCTCTCCCAGGTACGGATCCAGGTGCAGAAATGTGGGTCAGTGCGAGGAGCGGCGTGGGAGCCAGGTAACTGTCCTGGGCAGGAGGGCCGATGATTCACGCGTCCATCCAGCGGTGCCAGGCACCGTGCTCCCGGACACTGCAGGGCCGAGGGTTTGGACTGAATGAGTCTCCGGTCCCTCTCATTCTCATTTACATAAACGGTTTAATTTCAGTAGATTTCTCCATCCACTTCGCTAATATCCACTGGTGCATCCTTAGTAAAATTTATTGTATGTACAAAAAAATCACGGTGTGTATAACTTCTGGGTTTGTGGCTCTATTACTCTCTTTGTTTAGTTTGGACCAAGGAAAGGGTATTTCATTAACAAGTTTTAATTCTCTTGGAAAGTAACATGGAACCTACATTATCTGAGGTGTTGAAGCTTAAATGAGAACAGCGGTTGAGTGTTAACAGACGGTCGCAAGGGCCACGTGGTGAGCTCCTCCTTTCTCTCCCAATCCTTCTGTGGCCTGGGCGTCTCGCATTTATCTCTTACCTGAATGCTTACATGATCATGTCTCTACTTTATTACTCCTAGTCACAGGAAACTCACTACCTTTCCCAGTGTTTTAACAGCTTTACTAAGTAGGTCCTGCTGTTTCAGAGCCAAAGTGTGCCTTCTGGTTACTTACACCTGTGGCCCGGGCTCTGTCCTCTCCAATAATAGGTAACCAAAATAATAACCAGTCTTTCCCCCACTGACCACCCAGGAATATTTCTCTCCCCTCCAAGCTCCAAGGTTTTCATCTGTAAAATGCCGTGACGGGTGTGGCTCAGTGGGTTGGGCATCACCCTGCAAAGCGAAAGGTCGCCAGTTTGGTTTCTGCTCAGGGCACAGGCCCGGACTGTGGGTTCAGTCCCCAGAAGGGGGTGCACGAGAGGCAGCGGATCATTGTTTCTCTTCTTCTCCTTCTCCTTTCCCTTCTGCTCCCTCTAAAAGTAAATAAATAACAATCTTTAAAAAAATGAGTTCCCCATCTGGCCATCTCACCAGGATTGAGGTAAAGAACAACTGAGATAACCGTGACCTTAGGCAAAGCCCTCTCTCGTCCCAGAGTGTTAACACCGTAGTTTGACCTATGCTGTGATGCAGCGGGAAACAGCCGCGCCCGTCCATCGGCCCGGGAGCCTTGGATGGGCCTTTCCCATTGATGTTCTGCCCACTAACAAATGAACGAATTCGTCTTTTCATTAAACACTTACCGACCTTTCGCTCTGTGCCCGGCTGGCACTTGCTTGGGCCTTAAGTGAATACAGAACTGGGGAACAGGACAGACACTGTCTCCCCCATATAGGGCTTGGCTTTTCTCCCCTAAGTCTCTTTGCTTTGAGATATACATGCTTTCCATTGTTCAAACTAAACTGATACCGTTAGTCTGCGTTTACTCGAGAGTTTCTGGTTTTCTGACTAGTCCCCTGTATAACCGTGTGTCTCTGGTGTGCAGATATATGGAGCCTGGGCGTGATCCTGTTCATGCTGGTGTGCGGGCAGCCGCCCTTTCAAGAGGCCAACGACAGCGAGACGCTGACGATGATCATGGATTGTAAATACACGGTCCCCGCTCACGTGTCCAAAGAGTGCAAAGAGTAAGTGAGAGAAAGCGCGTGGGTGTCCGGGCCCCTTTGAGTTTTTGCACGTAGTATCTCTGCTCTCGTTAAGTGTGTTTAGGGGAGTTAGCTCCATAATGTGACTAGGAATGTACTACTAGAGTACAGGATATATTACGTAATTTCTTAAACATGCCAGTGTTTAAGGAACTCGTGTGCCTCTTCTGTCTCTAGGACTGGGGGTTACTGTCACCTGAACTGCAAAACACACAGCCCCCATGGAGCTGTTTTAAACTCCACCAAGAGGTCGTAGACCCCTGACACCCCGTTTTCGGGTGTACGGAGTGTCTCACAATTTTATCCACACGCCCCTCCCTGCAGCTGACCACAGGGCTCCGTTTCAGTGTTTGGGACTGTGGGAGCCAGCAACCAAAATGCAGTCAAGCTGATTTATTTGGAATGAAAGTCCTGTGACGTGTGGTGAGAACGTCAGTGGGACGAAGGAGCCGTGGGGAGTTCAGTGTTTCATCGACATCCTGGGCGATGTTTTCTGATGCGCTCAGCCGAGACTAGCTACTCCCCTGCAGGGTTTCGCTGCAGTAACACAGTTTTGCATTTCTCCCGTCAGCTGGTAACTACACGGTGCCAGGCGGGTACTAGACCTGTTGAGGGGGATCCCTGTGTGATTATGTAGATGTCTCGCCACTGTGCTGTGCACCTGAAACTCATATAACATTGGATGTCATTTGTAATTGGAAAAACAGAGAAGGAAATCTGATGGCTTGAAGAACTTTTTCCCTGAGCCCCTCCTTAGAACATGTGGCAGCCCTTGGCACAGAGGAAGCACTTGATGTGAATATTGGCCATGGTGACGGTTCTCCCTGCACTATTGCGACCCTCTACCCTGGGAAGCCAGTGCACGGGGTGTGCGTGCCGTTTGTAATTCAGGGAGCGGCTCTGCAGCCCCTCCTGAGGAACGGGAAGCTCCGCTTGTTTTCATGTTGAAATACATCATTCACTAGAGTGTTTGCACCTCTGCACCCGGTGTCCAGCCTAAGAAGTGGGACGGTTCTCGTAGCGTAGACGCCTCTGTGTGCCCCTCACGGAGCAGCTGTGCTCATTATAGGGCCGTTCGGTTTTCCGCTTGCTCCTGTGTCAGTTTTGCTAAGTTATGTTTTTCAAGGAACTCGTTCATTTTACCCAGGTTTTCAAGTGTGTTGGCGTCGAGTATTTCTAATACCCTCCTCTTTTTGCATTGCGGGGTGTTGCCCTTTTTCATCCCACTGCTGACACGTTTTGCCCTCGCTCATGTCTGAGCAGTTTGCCTGAGACGTGTTATCTCATTAGTCTTTTCCGAAGAACTGCCTGTCTCGTTGTAACGATGGGTTCACCTCCCCTCCAGCCTGATCACCCGGATGCTGCAGCGAGACCCCAAGAGGAGGGCCTCCTTGGAGGAGATCGAAAACCACCCGTGGCTTCAGGGCGTGGACCCTTCCCCCGCCACCAAGTACAACATCCCCCTGGTGTCCTACAAGAACCTCTCGGAGGAGGAGCACAACAGCATCATTCAGCGCATGGTGCTCGGCGACATAGCGGATCGGGACGCCATCGTCGAGTAGGTCGCCACCCTGTGTGCAGGGCCGCGGGTTAGGGCTGTGGAATGGCCCCTCTGTCCTTGCCAGGGCCTGTGGACACTGGTCGCTGGCAGCGGTCCTGGCTGGTGGGGTTCTGTCATTTATCTCTAGAGTCCCCGGCCCAGGGCCTGGCACATAGGTTTCATTTCTGGTTTATTTTTGTGCTTGTGACCACGGGCGTGTCAGGGAGGGCTGTGGCCTTTCTCCTCTCCTGCCCGGGCACGTTGAAACAGCTTGCCTTGTCTGTAGCAGCGCCCCGTTCGTTCCTGTCCACCCCCCTGGTTCCCGCAGTGAGCGGAGGGAAGGAAGCAGCACCTCCACTCCCTGAATCAGAGGGTGGCGTGTGAGGCCAGCTGGCCCCACGTTTATGTCCGTGCACTTGTGCCGGGCCCTGGCGATGCCCACTCACTCATGGTTTGTCTGTGGCTGCATTGTGCAGCCACGTCGGACTGTGCGTTGTGAGAGAGACCACACGACCCACAAAGCCTGAATAGTTACTCTCTGACTCAAAGAGCCCTGCTACCACGACCCGGGACCCATAAGCTCTGCCAGTTGTTAATTAAGTCCTTCAACACCAAAGAAGGAGTCCATAACCCAAGACGTTCAGAAACCACCTCTTTTTAATTCCCTGAGCAGTTCGGAATCGAGGGTGAGGTGCAGTTGCTTTGTTTTCACAGCGATTCACTTCTGTAAGCGGTCTGTCCTGTCTATGAAAATACAAAGCATTTCCACAAGCGAAAAGTCAAAAGTTACTTAGCCTGTTGAAGGAGTTGGGCACGAGGGAAAGGGTATCTTGCCAAGGACACGCACTTCAGGAATGTGTAGAAAGCGATTCTTCGTCTTTGCATGTGTGAAAGGCTATTTTTGTCTCCCTGAATCGGCTCAGTGATTTTAGCTTAAATAAATACCTGCCATGGTGTCATAGATGCATTTAATTCACGCCGGTTCAGTTGTAAATCCGAAAGGAGCGGCCGTAGTGCGGGTCAGAAGACTATGAGCCCGATGGCAGCGGGGGGGGGGGGAGCCTTCTGCGAGTGCAGCCTGTGTTCAGAGCTGCACGCTGCTGGCTGGCCCTGGCCTCTTTCTTTGGGATCCTCTGCTTAGCCCTTCCTGCCCATGCACATGCTGAGAACAGCTCCTATTGCTTCTCTCCTGCATGTTCATTGTGTATTTTTACCAAGTACAGAAGGTTCCTGAACAGCATAGCAAGGGTGTGTATTTCCGGGCCTTGTGGATCCTGGTGTAGTCTCTGGAATACACCTGGAAAGTGTATTCTAGGCTATTCCCTGGAAAGGCCAGAGAGGCCAGCTGCCGGATGGAGAGCAGGCAGGGTCACATGCCCCAAGGGCTTTACACCCCTGGCAGCTCCTGTCCCCGGGCTTTCGGGCTGGACTCGGACTCCGAGTGTCACTTGGACGAGCAAGCGCATTGACAAAGGTGCTAGTGACAGGCGGGCGGTCCCATGAACAGGTAGTTGGTCAGTGCCTAAAATTCCAATAAATGCGGAGAGAGCACGACAGTAAAGACTTTTCCTGGTTGCTGTGATCAGATTAGTGTCCCAGTGCACACCCATGTAGCTCATTTCATCCTTCCGATGCAAGCCGGCCGGCCTGCTGGCCCCCAGAACGTGAACACCGGCAGGCAGATGAACAGCGAGGAGACCCTGCAGTTCCCGGAAGCCTCCTGGAACTGACCTCCCCCCGCTGCCCTCAGCCGTTGGGCTTTTTCTCACTTACTGAATGTTTTTATGCAGTTGTATTTTAGAATTTCAAGAGTAATCTAAATACTAGGGTTTTTTTTCTTGTTTGTAATCTTTCATAATTTTAAAGATTTCAGGTCATTGGATGTCCTTTGCTTGTACTTTTTTGCTTTTTATTTATTTTCAAAAATATTTATTTTAAATACTTTATTTATTTATTCTTAGAGACAGGGGAAGGGAAGGAGAGAGAGGGAGGGAAACATCACTGTGTGGTTGCATCTCATGTGCCCCCTACTGGGGACCTGGCTCACAACCCAGGCATATGCCCTGACTGGGAATCGAACTGGTGCCCCTTTTGTCGAGTGAGGCTGGCACTCAACCACTGAGCCACACCAGCCAGGGCTGCTTGTACTTTTTTGAAAAACCACTTCTGCTTGTAAAAAAAAAAACCCTGCTGACGTGCTATGTGCACTCCCCCTGTGCCCCCAGGGCCCTGGAGACCAACCGGTACAACCACATCACGGCCACGTACTTCTTGCTTGCGGAAAGGATCCTGAGGGAGAAGCAGGAGAAAGAGATACAGACGAGGTCTGCCAGCCCCAGCAACATCAAGGCCCAGTTTAGGTGAGAAAAAAATCTTCACTGATTTTAGTAAGTTACCGTTTTGAAATAGCAAACTTTGTCTGTTTGTTTGTCTGTTTAGCGCGATAGAGCACGACCAGTGATGGTGGCCTCCGTGGGGGGGCGGTTGGGGGGAGCTTGGGTTCTGTGTCACCGAGGACGCCCTGCCCTCCGGGGCTCAGTGTGGCCGCCGGCCTGGCCAGGAGCGCGCGTTTGGAGAGGCGGCCTCGAGCCAGGGTGTCTGCAGTGATTTCGTTAAACTCTTCTAGGTCTGACAAGTATTCGTGTATTCTTTTCTCTAATTTTGTTTAGTCCAGGAGCAAGGCCAAATTCTCCCTCAGTTATTTGAAATAAATTTTTAAAATAACAAAGCATTTCTAGGCCATGATGCTATCTTGGGATTTTGGGGTTTGACAGACCAGCTAGTGGGTACATTGGCTGCTTGGCCTGGGAGGTCACGGAAACCGCCCTACGACTCGGCTTGCCGGTCTGTGCAATGGGAGCGATAACACCGACCGCCTCCCCAGGGATGCGGTGAGGGGTCAGCGGATGAAAACCCGTGAAGGGCTTCCAGGCCGGCTCCCCGAGTCTGCTGCCGTCGCAGGAGCACGTCACCAGCACCAGCACCGTCTTTCTCCCCCTCCCTCCTCCCCAGTTTCTCCTCTTCTGCCACGTGAGCTTTCCATTTAAAATCAAAGCATAAGGAGAGCTACTGTTTGCATCATCATTATGAAATCTACTTAGAATTTATAGCCAGATAAAGTAACCCACGGAACTATAGTGATTCCAATACCAAAGGCTGCTCCCAATTCTCAATAATTCTCCTCTCGTACACCCACCTATATGTAGTACATGTGTCTGAATATGTGATTATTATTTGAAAGAGGAAGAAAACCACTGGACTGTAAATTCCTTGCAGGCAGCTCGCCACGCGAGCAAGCAGTTGCTTGGGCTGGAGTGAGAAAGGAGAGGAGAGCCTTTTACCCTTTACTTTCGGTGGCTAAAGAGTAAAGAGAAGTCTGAACTGGACACTGAGTTTCAGAGTTTACCTTACATCCTGGGTGTGTTCGTCTGTAATGAAACCAGGCACGCAGTCTGGCGCCTGCTTGGATGAGGGTGGTCTGGGCCCCAGGGAGCTGGGGACTCAGGCCTGAGACAGACCAGGAGAGTGTCCCTGAGGGTTGGCCAGCCCGGCCCTGCTCCGAGCCCTCTGGTGGGAAAGCGCAGCCCCGGAGCGTCACCGCAGGCTGTGCCCCAGCTTGGGGACCACCCTGGGCTTTTGGAGAAGGAACTGGTAGGTGTGTTTGAGCTCTTTCCTGTTTAGTGAATCAGAGCAGAGCTCAATCTGAAGGTGATAAAATAGTTCACCTTCTTCTGGAATCTGCAAAGCCAGCAGTGGCCATAAAGAAGTCTCAGAGCCTTCCACACAATTTTTCTTTTCTCCTCCTTGGGTTCTGGAGCGGAGATGCGTTGAGCGGAGATGCGTTGACCTCCTGTGGCCGGGGGCCACCGGCATGTGGAGGGCGTCTGCTCACTTGCCTTCCCTTTCCGTCACCCTGACTTTAATGTGAAAGCCCTGGGCCTCACTGGGTCTGTTGTTGAGGGTGCCCTGTGGTCAGTGACCATCCCGAGTCAGGAGACTGGTGATTAAAGTAGCAGTTATTTGTTCTGCGGGGGGCGGGGAGCCAGGGCGAGCCAGGGCGAGCCAGCCACACAGAGTGGGACACTCTTTGGGCCTTGCCAGTGTGGGAGGGAGCATGGTGGGGTCTGTCTGCCCCCCGAGAGCTGACCTCAGCGCTGGGGAGGCCTGGCCACAGCCTGCAGCAGGCGTTCCTTCGTTTGGAGGGCTTCAGAGCTTGGAGGGAGATGCCACTGCCCCGAGGGCTGCGTAACCAGGGAAACCCAACCTGCATGCCGCTGTTTTCAAGCTGTGAGACCTTAGGCGGGTGTTTTGGTTGCTCCATATGTAAAGAGGAGACAGGAGCACCTACCTTGTGGAATTGTAGGGTTAATTCCTGTCGGGCTGTCCGCAGTGCTGGCTTTCCTAAGCGCTCAGACAGGTGCCCGGGGCTGTCAGTGTGCGCACAGTTCTGCTTGGCAGCTCTCCTCTCCTTTGTTGGATAAACCACGTTTCTCCCGAGTTGTGTGGGTTTAAATGTCAGTAGCTGTGGGCTCCCTGACAGCTGAGTAACTGCTGTAAACAGGAGCCATTGGTTCAGAAGTGGCTGATGGCGACATTGCCACCTTGGCCCTTACCTGTCCAGGCTCTGGGGGTGGGGAACAGGGGAGGCAGAGCCCCTACCATGTCCGCAGCCCTCCCTGTCCTTCTCAGGTGTATTGACTGCTGCTCCAGTGAGTGAATCAGTCGCACGGTCAGCGCCTTGCCCCCCAGCCCAGGGCCCCCTCCCTGGGTTTGCTGGGCGACCTCCCCAGTGGCCGCTTGGCCTGCAGGCAGCGGGTGTGCAGCTCCCACTCTGCAGGACCACGGGGCTCATGGGAGCTGGCACCGGTGTGTCGGTGGAGGGCAGACGACTCGCCCAGAGACACTGCTTGACTCAGAAGCACCCTGAACACTCAGCTTTCGTCAGCCACCACACAGTGACTGGGGCAGACGGACCCGCTCATCCCTCAAGGGAGAGCAAGGCCCTGAGTTGGGGGAGAGGTATCTGCTGTGAATCCCTGCGAGTTGAATCGAGCTGTAGGTTTAATTGGGTTTTATTTCTAGGGTAACATAATTGGCGTGAAATGAAAATGTCAGTGTGGAAGTGGCTGTAAATGTGTCTGGCATCTGCTAGTCCCCTGGGCAGAGAGGACAGCTGAGAATTCCAAGATGTTTATTCACAACAGGCCAGAGACCTCATTTTCCAAAGCCGTGGTCTTTGGCTTCCAGGCAGTATTCTTGTTGCTTGGGCGACCAGTAACGGGATTGGGGGTGAAACGAAAGTTCAGACAGCAGTGGACTTCGCTGTCCGGCGCTCTGTTGTGGACGTGTGAGTTAGACATGTTTATGGTTAGCTTTTCGCATTTTGTAATCGATGAGGAAGGGCTTTATATTTGCCACCACACACCCCTCAGTGTTCTCGTTTACGTTCCCTGAACCGTTTCACTGATTGTGCGAAAGCAGACTTGACGCTGCTGTGCGGCATCGGAGGGTGGACGTGTCAGGTGAAACTTGACCGGCAGTGATGCGCCCTCAGAGGCTGCCACCCGTGACCGAGGGACCGAGTGTGCGTGGGGTTCAGTTTTGCTTTGGTGGTAACTCCCCGGTGCTTTTCAAGAACGTTTTTCTTGTGGCGTAAACTGCTGTGTGGAAAGGAGTCGCCCTTGCCCCTTTCCTGACAGCGGTGAGGAAGCTGTTTCTCTCTAGGCCAAAAGCCCCAGGCTGACCCTGTCTCAGAACCGCCAGCCTGTGGGTTTGGCCCAGTAAGTCCGACGTCACAACGCGCTTCCGCCCAGTCCGCGCGGCCTCACGTGGCTTGTCTTTCTGTCTCTTCCGCAGGCAGTCCTGGCCCACCAAAATCGACGTGCCCCAGGACCTGGAGGACGACCTCACGGCCACTCCACTGTCCCACGCAACTGTCCCTCAGTCCCCTGCGCGGGCTGCCGACAACGTCCTCAACGGCCACCGGAGCAAAGGCCTGTGTGACCCGGCGAAGAAAGACGACCCGCCCGAGCTGGCCGGGCCGGCCCTGGCCGCGGCGCCGCAGGCCAGCCTGAAACCCACGGCCAGCGGGCGGAAGTGCCTGTTCCGGGTAGAAGAGGATGAAGAGGAAGACGAGGAGGACAAGAAACCCATGTCCCTCTCCACGCAGGTGGTTCTGCGCCGCAAGCCTTCGGTGACCAACCGCCTGACGTCGAGGAAGAGCGCACCGGTCCTGAACCAGATCTTCGAGGAGGGCGAGTCGGACGACGAGTTCGACATGGATGAGAACCTGCCCCCCAAGCTGAGCAGGTTGAAGATGAACATCGCCTCCCCGGGGACGGTGCACAAGCGCTACCACCGCAGGAAAAGCCAGGGCCGCGGGTCCAGCTGCAGCAGCTCGGAGACCAGCGACGATGACTCTGAGAGCCGCCGGCGGCTCGATAAGGACAGTGGCTTCCCCTACTCCTGGCACCGCCGGGACAGCAGCGAGGGGCCGCCGGGCAGCGAGGGCGATGGTGGCGGCCAGAGCAAGCCGAGCCCCGGCAGCGGTGGTGCAGACAGGGCCAGCCCCGGTGAGGGCGGCGCGGGCGGGGGCAGCGCTTCGGGTGGCTCGGGCGGAGCCCCGGGCGGCTCGTCGGGCAGTGCTCGCCGCTGTGCGGGCCCAGCAAACTCCAGCGCCACGCAGCTGGCAGCGCGCAGCGCCGGGGAGCTGGTGCAGAGCCTCAAACTCATGGGCCTGTGCCTGGGCTCCCAGCTCCACGGGGGCACCAAGTACATTATTGACCCGCAGCATGGCCTGACCTTCTCCAGCGTCAAAGTCCAGGAGAAGTCCTCCTGGAAAATGTGCATCAGCTCTGCCGGGAACGCGGGCCAGGCGCCGGCGGTGGGCGGCATCAAGTTTTTCTCCGACCACGTGGCAGCCAGCACGGCTGCGTTGGAACGGATAAAGAGCGAGAACCTGAAAAATAATGCGCTCCAGCTGCCTCTGTGTGAAAAGACCATCTCTGTGAACATCCAGCGGAACCCTAAGGAGGGGCTGCTGTGCGCCTCCAGCCAGGCCAGCTGCTGCCACGTCGTCTGACTGCCAGGCCGGGCCGCCGGACGCTTCCTGCTGGGCGCGGTGAGGGCCGCTCTGTCACTGTTTCCTTCCCAGTTTTGCCGTTTCACGGCGGGCGGTTATTTATTACCCTTCCGTTTGTTCGCCTGGCGATGTGACAATGCATGGACCTTGTGCATGCTGCTGCTAGACACTACCTTTCTTTTCCAGCTGGACAGTCTACTGTGTCATTTCTACGTTCATAACTTTAATGTGGGTGACCAGGAGTAAATTAAAATGTATATTTGGAACCTTAATGTAAGTGGAGCACTTAGAAATTTGCTGTTCCGCACTTACCCTGGGGAGAGGAGAAGACGCTTTTGTTTCCTTGTTGCAAAATCTCAATTCCTGTCCTGACCTTGCGGCGATATGGAAACTCCATGCTGTGAGGCACACCTGGTGTCCGAGGCAGAACCAAAGCAATAACGGTGTGAAGCCGGCAGGCCTGGGGCCCGCCTGCCTGCCCTCCAGGGCCTGTGCAGGTCCGCACTAGAACCTCAAGCCGTGATTTCAGCGTACCCACACCTGTTTGTCTTAAGCTAGAGTGTGAAAAAAAGGTTTGGGCTCTTAAAAGTTAACTGAAAAAGATTTTCTTGTTTTGTAATAGGTGAGATAAAGTACTTAGATTTATAAGGCAGCTTTCCCTGTAGTGGTGAATTACAAGCAGACAATCTTCTTTTGTAATGTGATAAAGTGGACTGATGTCTTAACTCTAGTTATAGAGTGTACGTCTGTTTAACAGAACAAAACGGCGCTCTGTGTAAGTCCCTGCATGTCGGGCACAGCCCGGGGTTTCCTGTGAAACCAGGCACACGGAAGCAAAGGCGCACACAGAGGTAGGCAAAGTCAAAAGCCTGTCAACTTACAAAACATACGTATGTGGATTTCATTTTAGGGAGGTTGGTAATGAGGTTGTCTCATTATTTCTATTTTATATCCTTTAGCTCAATTAGCCGTGAACATTGGCTGATCAAAAATTATACATAAAAGGGTAGAATTCACACATACAGCAAACAAAAATGCATAAAGCCTGCTTTGTTGGTGTGTGTTTGTTTTTTGCTGGAAGTGTTTTTCACTTTGCCTTCCTGCCAAACCAGTAATCAAAGTACTCTCGCTTTAAACTACTCCTGTACAAAGACCACTTCTGACCAGATAATCATCTTTCCTGACATTTTATTTGTGGAGCACAGTGTGTCGCAGATTGCTAATCAGGGGAGGGGCCAGATGCCACTTTGTCCTGCTGTGCCCCATGCTTGTCCACGCTGGGGATGGGATGCGGCGGGGCCCCAGGGCCGTCCCGCACCTGTCAGCCTCTGGCACCGTCCCCGGAGCTACAGGCTCCTGGTGGCCGAGTGGGCAGAGCACCGAGGGGTGGCGTCCGTGGGTCACGGTTTCTCCAAGTGCACACTGACCTTGCTACTTAGTATCCACGTATTTTACTCAGAACTCTGGATTTCGCTGTATACTTACTAAACTAAGTAAAGATGAGACAAAATACTTCTTTTACTTTCTAGACCTAGGCTAGGTATGTTTTAAGCTATAGCTCTAGTTCATTGTGATATTTATAATCGAAAGCTACAAGAATAGATGTGTGGGTGAAGCCATAGAACACATTTGCTTGAAATTCTTGAGCAGGGATCTTCTAAAGGGCCAGAAACAAGATGTGTGGTTCACACAGATAGTGAAGCGTGACATCTGTATTCCGCGTAGGAGAGAAGTTTGTAAAAAGGGCATTGGCAATAAACTCTTTGTTGCAGCTGTTTTCCAAGTAATGTAAATACTTTTTCCTGTGATTATGTATAGCCTTGGAATGGCACCTTTTAACCCATATGTGTTCGGTTTCCAATGGTTTTTTATATTCAGATGTATATATGGTGCTCACGTTAGAATCGGCATTGTTGACCGTCTATGCTGCACAGCTGTATCATAGCCTTACTAGTTGTGTGTGGTTGGTCGGCCCTCCGGGTGCACACACGTTAGTCTGAGTGGCGTCTCATTCATTTGTTCATACGTGAACGGTTGTGCATGTGTCGTGTGTCCCAGTGTGTTGTCACATAGAAGGGAGGGAGCGAGTAACCATTACATTAAGATAATATTGGACCAAACTACTTACCTGCTCTAAACAGTTTCCTGTACCCCTTAACCTGTCTTCAGAAGTTGCATAGAGTTACAGTAGTGTGTAAGTTAAATATTGTGGACAATTATTCTTGTATTTTTCTGTATGTGTGTGTATATATATACATATATGTGTATATATATATAAAAATTATGTACTTCTGGCAGTTCTATCTGTATTTAAAGATGTGACAATCTTGACACCGATTATAAGAGTAGTCGTGAGACTGAATTAAGTGTTCAGACCTTTCTCCCAAGTGAGAACCGACGCGTGTTAAGAGGGTACGGAGTTATCAGCCGATTTGGTCAGTTGCTTCCACTGCTGGTTGGTTTTCCTCATTGTGTGAACATTGGCAGGTATGTGACAAGTGGGAAACAACCCAGACAATAAAGTGGCATATTGGTGTTCAGCAATGTAAACCGTGTCCTGGGTCTGTTCCTTCTCATGAGCGCAGCTTCGTCCATAGTCCCAGCCCGGGTTAGACGCAGCCTTCCACACGCTGCACCCCGCCTCGCCACCCGTGACAGGAAGAGACCCCTGACTGTTCTGCTCCAACCTCCTGATGACAGTCTCAGGCGGGTCCCAGCACAGCCCAGTGATTACACTTCATTCCCCCAGTGCGTCGGCTTTCCTCACGCACTGGCCACCGTGCTTCCTGAAAACTGAAAGCACTGAAGCAACGATGGCTGCCACAAGCTCCCACCTCTACCTTCCCGCTGTGTCTCCGCAGCCCTGCGCTCCCTGCTGGTGTCCATCCCAGGGGCGGTTCCTGCGCTGGCACCTGGACGCCTCACACTGTGAGGGGGTAGCCCTGAGGACGTGCCATCCTCTTACACCATAGGCTTCTCTGCCAGGTCATTGCTAACAGGCAAATCAAACACGACTCATCCCCCTGGTTTTCTGTCTGTAGCGGTGGCCCAGTGCTCAGTTCCTGTCCTCCACTCGCTTGTGACCCCTTCCCGTCAGGCTTTTGCGCCAGAAATCTGCAGTGACCTCCACGAGCTAATCCCAGTGGTCAATTTTTAAAACAACTTGGAGATACAATCCTATACCATCGATGAAATTGCACATTAAATCATACAGTTTAAGGGTTTAGCATATTCTCAGAGTTTGTAACCATTACTTTAAACTCCAAAAGAAATGTTAAATCCATTGGCACGTTCTGCCTTTCTCCTCAACTCCGCACCCAGCCTCAGCCCCTGGTGACCGCTAACCCAGTGGTCGATTTCAGACCCATGTTCGGGTTTGGTGAGCTGATTCCTCTTCCTCGCAAACTTCCCACCATTCAGGACCCGCTTCTCCCTTGCTGCTGCTGTTCAGTCACTAGCTTCCCATTCTAACTTCCAACCACGAATGCCCTGCGGCTCAGTTCTGGACCCCTACTCCCCCCACTCAGTCTCCCCATCCCCCCACGGCGTCTGACATCTACCGAGTCCAAAGGACAATGAGCCCACGTTTCTCCCAGGAACACCGGGCACCAACTACATATTTGACTTTGCTACTTGGATGTGTCTAGTAAGCACCTCAATTTTCCCAAAACGCCTACCAATCTTCCCCCTCCGATCCTTGCCCTCTTGTGTCCCCACCTTATAAACAGCAACTCTAAACCTTCATTAGCTGTGCACAAGCCCCGAATGTTGGTGGTGGTCCTTCCTGTTCCCCCCACCTCCATCCCTCTGCACGTCTTCCTCTGCACTCAGAAACTGGCCCCGGTCCATGACACAGTCGCCGCTCATCTGGACAACCGTGAATATCCCTTAAAGGGTCTTGCTTTTGCTCGCTTTTCTTCGGTCTGCCCCCATCCAGCAGTGTTAGCGATCTTTTTTTTTCCTGTCACGTCTTGAAAGGTTTAATTTCCACCTGTTTGGGATTTTTCCACATAAGCTTCTGTCCCTGGTTTCTCATGTAATTCTGTGTTGGTCAGAAAATGTGCTCTGTGTATTTTAGATCTTAACTTAGTATTGAACTTGTCGTATGGCCTAGCTGACTGACGGCTGGCCTACGTGGGTGAAGGTTTTTGTGTTTGAAAATTGCTCTGGTTGGTGATGGGTTTTATAGAACATGCCCATCAGTTCAAGTTGATTGATAATGCCATTCCAGTCTTCTATATCCTTATTGATTCTCTGCCCCATCTCAGTCACTGAGAGAGGAATGTAGAAATCCTACTGGAATGGTAGGATTTTGCTTCGTGAAATTTGAAGTTCTGTTGTTGGGTATATGCACATTTATGATTGCTCCTCGCTATCCTGGTAAATTCTTTGTCCTGAAATCTTCTTGGTGTGATATTGATATAGCTGCCATAGCTTTCTTTGACTCATGGGAGTACACCCTTTCTCATGTTTTTTACTTTTAACCTGTGTCTTTATGCTCAGAGTAGGTTTGGTTTGGTTTGGTTTGGTTTGGTTTGGTTTGTAGACAGCATATAGCAGGGTCTTGCTTTTTTATCCAACCTGCAAATCTTTGTCTCCTATTTGGAGTGTTTGGGCCGATTATTTTAGTGTAATTATTAAGATGGTTTTGAGTTTAAGTCTACCATCCTTCTAGTAGTTTTCTACTTGTCTCACCTCTTCTTTGTTTTTCTGCTTTTACTACCTTCTTTTGGGTTAACTTGGCACTTTTTATTGGCTTACTGGTTGTGTGTCTTTATTTTTTACTGTTTGCTGTAGGGAAGATACATGAGGTGTGTCCAGAAGGTATCCAGCCATGTAATATGAAAAATAGAGACATTTACTGAAGACATAAGGCACAAGCAACACTGTACACAGGACAATGACACCTCAGTCCCCTTCACAGTAGGCACCTTGGGGCCTCACACAGTTCTCCCAATCACTATCAGCTGCCTTGTCATATTTTCCTGAATCTCACCAATGGTCTGAAATCTATTCCCTTTCAAAAGTGATTTTAGTTTTTGGAAAAGCCAGAAGTTGCAGGGCGTCAAATCAGGGCTGTAGGGGGGCTGAGTCACCTGGGTGATTGAGCGTCTTGCCAAAAAACTCTTGCACACAACACGATGCATGAACAGGCACACTGTCGTGATGAAGCTGCCAATCACCAGTGCCCATAGCTGCTGCCTTCTGGATCATCTGAAAAGTTTCTGTGGAGGGATGTTCAGGCTTTACACAAAACCTGATACAGATTCCTTGCTCTGCTCGCTCAGTCATTTTGAATGTGATGACCATACAGTACACATACTCACTCAATGACTAGTACAGTGAAGTCGTCATTGTTCACGCATGTGCACTCCAGTCCACTCTCCTGACTGCCGGTTACATTGATGTTGCACAAACCATCCTCCTTATATTAACAATGGCTGGACTTTTTCCAGACAGGCCTCGCATCTGTATCCAGTTTCCCGTGAAGCAGTATTACTCCGTGTAAAAATGTGAGAACCTTACGACTGTAGATTTTCGCCTGTTCTTTGTGCTGTTGTCACACATTATATTTTTACACGTGCATACATATTTTTAAGTAGTTTTATTTTTTAAAAGATGAAACACAGGGGAAAAGTCTCATTTCGCCTACATCTCTGTCATTCGTAGCACTCATTTCCTCCTGGAGGTCGTTGTGTCATCCTGCCTGTAGAACTCCAGGTTTCTGCCTGTAGAACTCCAGGTTTCTGCCTGTAGAACTCCAGGTTTCTGCCTGTAGAACTCCAGGTTTTCTTATAGGCAGGTCTGCTGTTGGCTTGCCTGTCCGGGAAAGTATTTTTCTTCATTCCTGCAGGATATTTCCACTGGGTACAGAATTCTCAGCAGACAGCCGTTGTTTGTTTGTTTGTTTGTTTGTTTGTTTGTTTTTAGTGCAGTACTGGACACAGAATTTGACACTGAGTGCTGAATTCTGTATTCACCTAAGAGGAGTTGGATCCTGTTCTGGTGCATAGTTACCTGGAATTGGGTGGATCCCTGGGGTTTTGTTCGTAAAGTTTCAGGGCAGATGCAGAGCAGTCTTCAGGCCGACTGGCCTCCCACCGAGACAACCCTCCTAAGCACTCGCCGAAGTCTCTCCACTCCGGCTCGTGGGAACAGAAGCTGTTCCCAGCTCTGTGTGAGTTCTGCGCACGGACGAGCCTGCTGCTTTCCGGGGGTTCTTTCTCCAGCCCCCGGCGGCTTCCTCACAGGTGTGTACTCATCGATGCTCCCCCAGAGGCTGCAGATTTCCGGAGCTGCTCCCCCTCTGTGGCTGGTGCTGGCTTTCTGCCTTGTGGTCCGGGGCTGGGAGGAGCAGAGGTGGCTTTAGGGAGCTTTAGGTGGCTCTTGGGTCCCTGTTAGGGTGGAGACACATGTGATTTCCATTTTTCGAGCCAGACAGTGATGCGAAGGGAAGTATGTTTCATGTCCACACACGGGGCTGCCCCTGGTTAATTCCCGAGCACTCCATGGTGTCTTCCTGGTGCTGAGCAGCTCTACAGCGTGAGGACTCGCCGCAAGTTCCTCACACCGGGGCTGGCCCCGAAGCCTCGGGCCTTTAGAGCTTTGTTGGGGGTGGGGCTCCTCCCTGCTTTACAGGGCGGTGGGCGTGGACTTGCCCAGCCCCGCCCCTTCTTCATCCTTCTGCCTGGGCCTCAGCTCTCAGGTATAAAGTGGGAATGGCAACAGGTAGGCGGAACTGTGTGGCTGGGAAGGTTGGGGCTGTTCTCCCCGCCCTGGGGAAGTTCACAGCACCGAGAAAGGGAGGCCGGGATTTCTGTGAGCCACCTGCCAGCATCGCCCGGGCCACAAGCCCTCCGAGTTCCCCAGGTGGTCACGTGAGGCCCATGCACCCAAATCTGCTCCTCCCACCGCTGCTCCCAAGCACCTGCTGCCAGAGGGATGCTGCCCACGCCACGTGCTCGGACGCGGGGAGGACTGTGGGCCTAGCGGACCCATGTAGCACCCCCTTCCTGCTAACCTCCCTCTTGGCCCAACCCGACCACCCCACACCACCCTCCTCCTCCCTGGGGCCCCCGTCCCCTCTGAGTGACTGGCCTTGTGCTGGGTCAGTGTGTGGCTCTGCCTGGCCAGCCTCAGGAAGGGCCGAGGGAAGCTTCTGGGAATGAGTCACAAGCGCAGGGAGCCGGGCTCTGCGCCAGCACCTCGGGGGCAAGGAGGGCCACCTGGAGAGAGAGGCTGCCGGCCCCGCGGCGGCTGTGAGCCTCCAGGCAAGGAGACAAGCGGACGGGTTTGCCTCACAGAGACTGCATTCATGTGACCGGGTCCCCCTGATCACAGGCACCAGGGCTGGGACTGGGAGGCAGCTCAGGGGCAGGACCACAGGGGCTGGCAACCATCCATCGGTGTTCGGAGCAAGCGCATGTTCTAGAAAGCACTTGTTGAGCCTCGAACAACCACTGAATACACACGTGTGCCACAGAGTGCCTCCGGCCCAGCAGGGCCAGAGCGTGCTGGCCAGCGCAGTGGTGGAGAGGGCCAACTGAACA